ACGGAAATGCAAAGAAATGGAAAATATGTCCAACTAAGAAAATCTGTGTCTTCATAGTAAATTAATGTGGCAAAATGAGCTACTGAACAAGGAAAAAAGTAACAATATTAGATCAGCAAGGTGGATGCAGTCATCCAGATGATTTCTTGGATGTTTCCAGCGTTCATCAAAATGATCATTACTTCGTATTACTTGGGAATGCTTAATACACACATTTTCTATTATCTGAGAGTCCAAAGTTATGATACTAAAAAAAAAGTGGGGAAAAGGATATTTTCTTTCCCCATTTTTTTTCCTCTTTAAATGTTTTTAATCTTAATTATTTAGAAAAGCACAATTTTAAAATAAATCTTAATTTTTACCATAACAGTATTGTAACAGAAAAAGGGATGGTGTTTCTTCCCCAGAGGCTTAGAGGACTGGAGCTGGAACCTTGCTTCAGTTGTGATGGAGGCATCTTTTTCTGATGGGTGTTTGTCAGAGCTTTTTTATCAAATTTGTGTTAAAAATACAAAGCAACCCTGATTTGCAAGCAGTGCAGCTTAATATATTTCAGCTGCTTTGATTTTCTCTCCCTGCTTCATGTAATTAGCTTCCTACATCTTCTTCAGTCATCTACTGAGCCTTCCAAAGCAAGAGTGGATTTTGTGATGTTAAAAAAGACCCAAACAAATAATACTTTTCTTTTAAATCAAGAAACCTTTAAAAAGTTCAAGGAAAAGGAAAGCCCTCTATATCCGTCCTATACACACCATACAGAAACAATGACACGAAAACTTTCAGCATCTCATTTCAGAACATTTCAACAGGAAATTCAGTAGCATTTATTTGTGAAAATCCCACTTTAAAATCAGCTTTATGACCCTCTCATGTTTCAAAGTGCTTCTCAGGTCTATATGGAGAAGGGCAAATACTGTTTTCTAAGAGATGATTGGTGATAGAATTACAAATGGAATAGTCATGACGATTAGCAGAAGCTGGAATGGAAGTTGGCTGAGAAAAGAAATTGTATTGGAGAAGAAATGTGCCATTGCAAAAGCAGGAAACACATCATACTAATTGAAAAAAGAGGTTGGATAAAAACAATACTAAAATATAATGTTCTGCCTTCAGTTTCTCCTTTTTTTTTAGCTCCCCTGTCCATACTTCTTTCTGATTTTTCTGGGTTTTTTCCCTTTCATGTGTCAGAGCAGAACTTGATCTTTCATGTCTGTGGATTAATGACTTGACAGACTTTGGGCCTGTCAAGTTGCATGTATTGAGCACCAGGCTTCATGTAGTTGCTTTTGCTATTCCTAACAGTAAAAAGAAAGAAGAAAATCAAACGCTAACCTTTATCCAACTTTCAGTAAGAGGAAGTAACCTTGCCCCAGGCCCAATGCCAATTAGAATCCAGACATCTTTTAAACCACAGTGTGTGATGGTGTTAATGCTTCGGCAGATATCACTGCATTTAAAAACATTTATTAGTTATCTTATTCCAATATATTTATTTCTTCCTTACTACTTGTGGAACTGTTTAGACCAAGAATTTTCAATAATTAGTCTTTACAGTGCACACAAGATCACATATTATTAATTTTCTTCCCTTGTCTAGGTAATTTCAGCTGGAGAAAACCAGTAATAGAGAAATTTTGTAGGCCTTCAGCTCAGCTGTTATGGAAGAGGTGTGGATTTTGAGACAAATAATTGTTTGATGTTAATGTTCTTCAATCATTTGATGCCACGATCTGCCAGCATGATGCTAATGTTTTCCACAGTCTAACACTTGATGGAAACCATCAGTGGTTTAGCAGAATTAGGAACAAAGGTTGAGTATCACTTGCCAAACTTTGGGTCTGTCAAGTTGCATGTGTTGAGCACCAGGCTCAATGAAGTTGGTCTGTCTCTTTGGCTAAGGAGGGGGTCTTTGCACTTCATTTGTAGAGCAGTGCTGCAGCCTGTTTTGGACTATGTGTCAGGATGTCTGTCTAGACTTACAGGAGAGCCACAGCATTATGCTCAGAAACAGCTGAGAGGACAGGGAATAAATCTAGGGTAAATGGAGATAAAACAGGCATGACACTGCTACCTGCACTGAAGGCAGGTATAACTTCTTCTGTATTCTATACATTCTGTATTCTTCTGTATTCTATATTCTTCTGTATAACTGCCTTCTGCTATGGAGAGGTGTAACCTCTCCTGCTTCTCCAGTCTCTCCAGTTCCTGGCACTTAGACTTCCATCACAAAACCTGCACCCAGACTAGAATGTCCTTCATGCCAGAAAATAGAAATGGAATTTAACAAGAAGACAGGACAGTCTGCATAAAATAAGCACAGGGCACAGCCAGACAACCCTACTGATCAGCAATGTGTTTACATGCTCCCAGCCCCTTTTATCCCTTTTTGTCTATTTTCTCACACTTGTTTCTCTCCAGACCACCTAGATCCCTCTGCTTTGCCTGCTGTTGGTTCTTCCTCTAATCATCACATAAATCTAGTGCAATCCCCAAATGCTCTTCTCCTGCTTCCCATAGTAGGTCCCATACCCCTAAGGCAGGAACTACCCCAGTCAGTTACAAAAATGAATCTGAAAGCCTCTCCCCCTGACTGATCTTGATAGGCTTTCTCCTTGACTATGGGGTTGAGGCTCTCTTGGGACAGCCCTAGGAAGGACCCAGAAAGGGTGTCTCTTCCTCTTAGTCTGCAAGCTGTGTTCCCATGTGTCATCATCCCACTGTGCTCCTCTGGGCATGTGGAGATGGGCCTTTGGTGGGCTGATGGCTCCTGGAATGGGAATTATATCAGAATTAAATAACTGAGCTCAGTAAGGCCAGATGCATGCATGTCCTTGTGAAGAAAATCAGTCAAGAGGATCACAGCCTTGAAAGGTGGTCTTTGTTGTGCTCATCATAGCCATGTCCTACCTGCTTCTGAAGTTTGGCTATGTCTGACGTCTGTGGTTACCTTTATAGCATACAGTACAGGAATCGCCTGTCAAGTTCCCTGCAGCTTAGGAAAGAGCAGCTTTACTCCACCTGGTCAGAGACATAGGGGGGATGCTATTAAAGTATTTGGCTCTAGTTAACCTGATGAGCAGAAACATACTTCACATGTGAAATATGCCTTGTTGGTTTGGGTTTTAATTCAGAAAGAGATGTGAAGGTGTGGTAGACACCAATTCAGATTTGCTTTCTCCTGGTTATCATCTCACTGTATTTAGCCTTTCTAAGGGACCAAATTATTTCTGTTGCATTTTAAATTGTAGTTGATGGGTGCCTCAGGTTTCCCACCAGTAAGTGCCTCCATGCTTCCTGCAGGCCCTGTGGAGCACAGCATCTCTTGACTGCCAGGAGATTTCAGTCCAGGAAGTGGGTGATGAGCCATTGTAAACATGCTAGAATGAGCAAGGGGGTTTGCATGTGTCTGTGAAGGCAAAATCTGCTATAAAGAGTAAATAGAAAGCTAAAAGCTGATGACTATAGAACAATCACACGCAATGGCATGTATTCCAAATACACTAGATACTGCTGAATCAATCGCAGGAATAGACAGTCACTTTAGGAGCTGTATTTCTTGCCAGGTTCCAAAAGGCTCCAGTTTATACACAGTACAACCTTCCCTCTGTGACATGGAAGTCAATAACCTTTAACAAAGCTTGATGATGGTACAAGTAATTGCTAACTGGATAGAGCAGTTTTGGTTACTTAGCTGAATATTTAAAGTGTGCTTCTTTGCATTTAGTTTTCATTACAATTTAATCTTATTTCTACAGTTTCATTACAATTTAATCGTATTTTTATCTTTACTAATTCAATTTTATAATTTCTATTTTATGTTAGTAATATTTAATCAAATACCTTAAGTTGTATTAAAACATGTGTAAAATCAAATGGCACAGTCTCTGCTTTTGCATGGGTGACAATCCCAGAAAGCTGTGCAAAGTGCTTAGGGATCTGAGTGAACAAACAGCTGAGTGTGAGGCTCTCCTGTGAGGTTGTGGCAGAATGGGTTAATTTGAAGAGCAGCAGTAAGTAACTATTTTTAGGTTTACATACATTACTGTGCGTGCTTTTATGTCCACGTTTTAAAGAACTGAAGCATTTGAGATGTCTTTCAAAAAGAGAGACAAATTTTTTAAGGGGACTGGAAAAGTGCTCAACAGTAAGAAATCTGATGATCTCAGTCTGTTTTGTTTGTCAAGAGGACAAGCAAGTGTATAAATAACTTCCCTGAAATGTAATGGTGGGTATTAAAAAGGTCTTTAATCTTGCTGAGAACAGCAAAGCAAGGGCACCAGCAGCTCTAAGCTGGTGTCAGACCAATTCAAATTATAAAGGAGAAATGCCTTTTTAAGTGATGATGGTTTAATACTGGAATAGAGTATCAAAAGAGTTGGTTCTTTCTCAAGTCACACATCATGACTGGATTTTTTCTTTCTGAGGAGCTGTAGCCAAACATACATTATGCTTGAGAAAAACACAAATGACCAGTCTTCATATACGATCACAGAATCACAAAATAGTTAGGGTTGGAAAGGACCTTAAGATCATCCAGTTCCAACCCCCTGCCATGGACAGGGACACCTAACACTAAACCACACTCTGTCCAGCCTGGCCTTGAACACCACCAGGGGTGGAGCATTCACAACTTCCTTGGGAAACCCATTCCAGTGCCTCACCACCCTTACAGTAAAGAATTTCCTCCTTATATCCAATCTAAACTTCCCCTGTTTAAGTTTTAACCCGTTACCCCTTGTCCTATCACTACAGTCCCTAGTGAAGAGTCCCTCTCCAGCATCCTTATAGCCCCCCTTGAGATACTGGATGATACGGAGATAACTGAGTGAAATATAATAGTTGATGATGTACAGGTAGCCTCATTAAAATCAGAATGTTTGGTTTAAGATTCTTGTGGCCTAAAACTCAGTGATTCTCCTGTATGCTGAGCTGAGCTGGCTTAAGACTTCTAGAACAAATTATAGTGTTATTCAGAAGCCTGACTGGATGTGTTCCCACAGGAAACGAGGTGATTGCAGTAGACTGGAAAGGACTGAAAGATGTGGACCAAATCAATATGGACAGCACCAGTTCACTGCATGGCAGCAGCTTCCATCGACCTTCCACTGAGGTGAGAGCCTGTCCCACACCCAGTTACTCATGGGGATCGGAAAGTTTCAGTTCTTTCTGAGCTCAGAAATGGGTGTTGTGCATTACTGAGGCAGCCTGGGAGAGGACCAGAATACCACCATGCACTCAAGGATCAGACTTTCATATCTGTGCAGTTTGGCTTGCACTGAATAGAGTTGAGTCACTCCCTTTACAATATCCACAGTGAGAATTTGGAAATGAAAGTGCTTTTAACCACTCATGACCGGAGTGGAAAAGAACATGGAAAAAACTGTGGCAGTTCTGACAAGCCTGTAGGTCTTCAGTCCTTGAATAATGGATTCATTGAAATGTCCAGCACAATGTCCACCCCAGCTTCCTCAGTACACCTAAAATCTGTTGAAGAAACACAGTTGTATCCATTTTGATATTAGGGATGCACCCCCTAGTAACTCGCTGCCAACTGATTTACCACACAGCATCTCAGGGGCTGATTCATTTGCTGTTCTGAATTACTGCAGCTTCTTCAATCTTAGATACCTGAATTTTCAGCCCTGTAAGGCTCAGAGTATGCAGTCATGATGAATAAAAAGGTCAAAGCTATTTGAAACACATAATATTTGAGGAATCACAAATGACGTTCACAAATAGCATGAGCAAATAAGACACAATTTGTCAAACTTTTCAAAATGCTAATGTATAGATATTTTTATTTCCTCATTATTCCTTGGTGGCTTGGAATGTAGCTGCAAGAAACTTGGGTATCAACGAGCATAAACTATACCTCAGTGAACATCTTATGTGAATGCGTACCATAGGTGTAACTGATTCATCTAAATTTTCCTGAGCATCCACATCCCCAAAGCCGAGATGGTGAGATACGAGCCCTCCCAGCTGAAGGAAATGCACTATGAATTGGTACTGTAATGGCTGATATGTGAAACGGATCTAGTTTGTGCAGGGAAAATGTGTTGGAATGGACAAACTGAAATACATGAGAAAATAATCCCAGCAGAAATAAGTCTGTAACTTCCTGTATTATACTCAAAATACACAGGTAGTTTAGCTCCTCCTTGTGTCAGCCTCAAAGTGATGCATCTTGATGTTTGCAACTTGTTTGTTACATTAACATGATCTCATTCTGTGCTTTCTTTAGCAAACACGGACAGATTTTTCCTGGGATGGTATCAATGTGAGTATATGCCACACCACTGTTCACATTTCTAGTTACAGCAAGACCAGGATTTGCCTGCCATTGGGTACAGTGGAGACCAGAATGGAAACATAGAATCACAGAATAGTTAGGGTTGGAAAAGACCTTAAGAGCCACTGAAATTCTGGGAATTGTCTGTAACTTGGAGAATGGTGATGAATTCTTATTTTCCTCTGGGTCCTTTGCTGTCGCGCAGGCATTTAGGTCTGCAGGTGACTATGAGATTGACTTTGTCCTCTTTGGGACTAATGTGTGTCATTTTGTAGGTTTATTTTTGAGATTTAGGGGCACTGATAGATAAAAAAGGAGTCTGTCCAGCATGTTGAAAAGAATCAGGACTCTTTGTTTAAAGCATCATTTGATCTTCTTCAGGATAGGGGGAGAAAGGTGTCCCTCATTTTCAGCTGCATACAACTGTAAAAGAATTCTTAATGTCCCCTGATGGAGATGCTCATTAGCAGCTAACTCTGGTGAGCAAGCAGAAGAAGAAACAAGCAAACATTTAAAAAACACATCTTTTGCTCTTAATACCTATGCCATGAAAAAAATGGTTTTATGTGATTCATTTTCACTAATGCAAAAGCACCATCCAAAAACTGAAATCATGCTTATTAGTGCTACCAAACTATTTTTTATGCTCGGGAGAAAATACAGATTAGCTTGATAGTTTTGTACTCTTGGAAAGGCAGGATTAGAAGCTCCATTTTTGTTGGCTGTCACTTTCTGGTTCCCTGTGGTTTGCAAGCACTTGTGACACTGCATATCGAGGGGCCTCATGTTTATAACTAGCCCCCAGCCTACTGACATCTCTTTCCTTGTGGCACTTATGGCTTTGGATCTTTTGCTTAGAAAAACAGTTTTGTGCAGGAAAGTAATGGTGTATGCAGCAACTGCCTAGAAGAAATTTGTCAGTTTTCCTTCACTGCACCCCTGACTAGGTGAAAACAAGGTGCACAGAGTCAGCTCTCTCATAATGTAGCTCTTTCTCAGTGTAATGTCATAAATCTTTCGTGATATCAAAGCTGGTTTATGAATTTTCTTCATTCCCCTTCATTCCTGCCTTTGTGTCCCAGCTCTCCAACCTCATAGTGGTAGATACCTTCTGCAGCTTCTTTTCTGGGCTGGTTCCATGAGGTGGCTCACAGCACAGCCCCAAGGCTGTCTTGAAACAAATGGGTGGATTCTGAACAGCAGTGCCCAGGCAGGAACGACCAGTGAGGGCATAAATAGTTCTTCAACCAGCTTCATCACTAAAGGAAATATATCGTGGAACAAGGGCGGTATTCTCACTTGTTACTGTTCTTCCCCTGCTTCCTGAGCTCTTAAGTTCACATGTTACACACAGACATTCCTAGCTCCAAAGTTACGGGATGCCTTAGCTGCTGCGTTTACACTCAGTTTCTGGATCAACTCTTCACGTGCAATGCCTGGCATCTCTGACAAATCCTGGTGAGGGATTGTGTTTTATGATGATGCTTGTAACTGCTGCCTGTCTCAATAGTTTCCTATCCTTGTTATTCAGGGACTGAGGATGAACATGGGGAAGAGAGTAAAGGGAATTAAGCAGAGCTGTAGACCTCATTTCTTTACAAGTAGTGGTAGGTGCTCAAAACAGGATGCATCACTGCTACAGTCACATTCACTGTATTAAGACCATATGAGAAGAAATAAAAACCAAAAGTAACATAAAAATTAATATGTATAGTATGAAGCATTACTGTGTCATGCCTATCACAGTGTCAGCTCCCCATTTTAAGTTCCCTGAATTATCCATCAGCCATGTCTCACATCTTTTAACAGAGCTGGGAACAGTGCAGCATGTCTATAGAGGACTGGCAGCAGCCGAAGGAAGCTTCTCACTGGCTACTTCTGCATCTCCACTGACCTTGCCTCACTCAGTCCCAATGCTATGCAAGATCAAGTCCTTGTTAAATAGCGTCTAATTTTTCCTTCCCTTCTTTTGTTTTTTCTTATTGCTTGCTTCTGCTCCACATCTTCCCTTTACCTTCTGGAGTCCTTGTACTTATTTCTCACTTAAATTTGCTTTCTCTTCTCTGTATGTAATTTCTCATATTCTCTCTCTTTTCAGCTCTCCATGGAAGATACGACCTCCATCCTCCCCAAACTGAAACGCAACTCCAATGCTTATGGGATTGGGGCTTTGGCTAAATCATCTTTCTCTGGTGAGGTCCTCGAAATTTACCTTTATCCTTGCCAGCCTTTGTGCTTCTTCACATATCCCTCTGTTGCTCTCCCAACTGCTCCTTTCTGAGTCTTGCCTTTTTGAGGCCTTAGAGGACCGCTACGGTTCTAGATACTGAAATCTCTTAGTTGTTGCCCTTTCAAAGAGCAGCTTTGTCTTAATTCCTGTCAGCTTTGCACCATGCACCCCAGCTCAGACATCTTCAATTGCTTACCCTCAAACAGCGTTGGGATTAACCCCATTTTTTATTTCTCAGTTTGTTCACTTCCAGGCCTCATCCTTTATGCCCAAATCTGTCTTAAATGGATTCTAGGCAAGGAAGGAAATTGGCTTTCATATTTGGGGTTTCCCTTTTTCCTCCTTCTAAGAGCCAGATCAAGGAAAGATGGAGAGGGATGCAGTGAAAGGTGGGAGACACCCAACCCCAGGCATGAACCCTGTCAGGAAAGGAGGGGAGAAACTCCACTTCCATGAGAGGTGAACAGTGTGGCAGCCAACCCTGGAGCTGTGTAATAGCCCCTCCTTGTTTTCTAACGTCTGGCCCCTTAGGGATATCTCGCAGCATGAAGGACCATGTCACAAAGCCAACAGCTATGGGCCAAGGCCGGGTGGCTCACATGATTGAATGGCAAGGCTGGGGCAAAGGTAACAGCCAGCAACAGCAGCACACGCATGAGACAGCACGCAAAGACGCTGATGCCTACTCAGATCTGAGCGACGGTGAAAAGGAAGCCCGGTTCCTTGCAGGTAGCACTAACTTCTTGGCATGTGGGTTGGATTGGTTGGGATCTCCCAGAGCAGAAACCTTGAGAAACCAAAGTGTAGGAGCCTAGAGCCTGTGGATGGTTCACATGGCTGAAGGAGAGAGAGGCTGTGGTTGGAGTATTGCCAATAGAATGCAGAGGTGGAGAGGGTGAGGGCCAATTGTGGGTGATGGGTGTTGCTGAGGTAGGATGGGACATGCTGAGTGGGACAGTGTGAAGAGATGAGATTAAAGAGTGTGATGAGAAGTAGAGGCTTTCACACATCCCTGCTTCCCGTCCCTGTCTCCTTTGGCACAGGAGTGATGGAACAGTTTGCTATTTCTGAGGCAACTCTCATGGCCTGGTCCTCCATGGATGGTGAGGATGTGAGTGTAAACTCAAACCAGGAGAACCCAGCAGGCAACTACTCTGAGAATTATCAAGAGCTAATGGAAAGCCAAGGTGAGCTCTGGTGCCTCTTGCTAGTCTTGGAACACCCTTTCCCTCCTCTTGTTTTCTATTGCCCTATTTCCCTCTATTCTGTTTTATTCTGTAGCCTCAATTTTTGTGTTTTCGATAGAGCAGAGGCATCACCTATTTGTGGAGCTGTCAAAGGAATCTAGTATTAACAGGGAGGCTCCAAAGCCCAGTTCCTTTGCCTTTTTGGGGCACAACTGTGGAAAGCTGCCAGCTCTTGCAGTCAAGTGTGGGTATAACCAAGTTCATCTGCCTACTGCCTAGAAGTGGCTTTTCCTCTCCTCTAAAGGATTTATCTACCCCGTACAGTACAGTGTCATGCACAGGCACATAAGCTATCTGTATAAGCCAGCTTGGCTTAGACAAAGTGTCTAACTGTGTTCTTTCTCTCCTTCACTTGCAGAGCATATGGCCCAGACGCAGTATGATAGTTGGCCTCACTCCTACGTCTCACAGGGCATGTATTGCTTAGGTTCATCCGATGCCTGGGAGACCAGTGACCAGTCCCTCATTGCTTCCCCAGCAACTGCCTCCTACTTAGGCCAGAATTTTGATGAATCCCAGACAAACCTTCAGGAAAGCATTTTGATTCAGAGCAGCCTTCTCCAGCAGCAGCAGCTGCAGCAACAGCGGCAGGAGCAGAACTTCATCCAGAGCACAGGGCTGGTCCACGTGTGGCCCCTGCAGACTGCTCAGTGTGGGGCAGAGTCCAGCACGTACATGGAGGACCACATTGAGGATGAAGGGAACCCACAGCTGGAGAAGGCTCCTCTCCTAAACAAGAAGCCATCTCCAGAGGAGGATGATGCAGTGTGCCGGGACCTGGAATCGCTGTCTCCTCGAGAGGAGATGGAACATGCTGCACTGAGCCGCAAAGTCTCAGATGTCACCTCCTCTGGGGTGCAGTCCTTTGATGAGGAAGAGGGGGAAACAAACAACTGATGCTTTCTGTGAAGTTCTTATCACTGCTGAACCAAGAAAGGGGTGGCAAGGGATGAAATTACAGGGATTCTCCAGCTCCCCACACTTCTGAGCAGACACATATTCCCTTCCTGACATTGAATTATTTTTTTAAACAAGAGGAAAATCTCAACGTGATGGACACATGAAGACCTTTCCTTCCCCTCTACCATGGACACACGGTTTTGATTTTCATTGCTCTGGGCAACACGTGAGGTGCTTGGAGAGGTCTGGATTGGTAAATAATTTCTAAATCTTTTTAATACAAAGTCTTGACTGTGGATACAAACTCTTCTGGTACTGGGGATGTTGCTGACGAAACAGACATGGTATAGAGAGCAGCTGTGTGGCTAGAATCCATCTTGGCAGAATGGATGTTGCTCTGTGGACATGGTCCCCTTTGATAGAATATATGAGTATAAACTGGTTTAAAATGAAGATATGGCTTTACAAATATAGATTGCACTAGTATTTTGATTGTGGCTGATACAGAGGATAAGGCTGTATTTGATACAGACTGTCCTGAGGTGAAAGATTTGCTGGGTAACCAGATCCTCATTAGCACCTTGATATGAAATTGTAGGCTCGATGGATACAAACTGCACGCTGTGGGCACGGGTTGTGCTGCAGTACAGATGTTGTAGCTGTGTGCGCATGGCTCTGCTGTGGCATGGAAGAATGGATGCAGATATGAATCTAACCCTGCTCTCAGATATTCGTGCTTTGGTCTCTTTCATTTAATTGTTTCTTCCCTTGAAATTTCTACCTTCCCAGGAGCTGCAGGATCAGTGTGTCCTTCTGGCATTGGGCACTTGATGCCAGTGGAAAGGACTTTTTCAGCTATGGAGACAGTCATAAAACCTAAGTCTTATAGGGGCTTGAGGACATGTCCATCTTGGTGCTGCCGCTGTTGTATCCTTCTGTCTTTTCCCTTACCAGCAGTATGGGGAGACCTAGAGAACAGGCAGCAGATCCAGAAGCAGTGTGTACAGATATGAGATCACAGATATCCAGTTTACATTGGAGTTTTCAGTTTTGGGGTTTGTTTTTAACCTTTTTCTATTGCTGCATAAGTGTTCCTAACAAGTTAATAGTGGGAATGACCTGTACTCGAGTCATCACCTAATAGAGATACTGCACCTTTCCCATTTCTGCCTGTCCTCTGCAGTGCCAGTATAGCTGGAAGAAAAAGGAGCGAGATGAAGTTTTCTCCTCCTATTTATTTCTTCTTCCTGCTATATTTTCTTCTTTCGTTTTCCTACCCCCAAGCAATATGAATAATGCTCAGTACTTGGTCTGTTTGTTTTTCCGTTCCATCTCCTTTTTAGGACTGGAGAGAGCTGATTTCAGCTGTTTTACCTATTTGTACAGGTTCTATTTTTGGTTGTTGTTGTTGTTATTGTTAAAAAACAAGGTTCATTGACCAGGGGGAATTTGGTCTCTTGGAATTCCTTGCCATGTTTCTACAGACCTCCTTTTGAGGGAGAGGGGTTTTGAAAGGAAATGGAAAGAACTGTCTCCTTTCGAGCTCTCACCAGGAAATAAACAGGGGTAAAAGCAACCTAAAGAAATGGACAAGGCTATGGATTGTGCAGGAGGAGTGAACAGAACCAGCAGAAATTAACCAGGTGCTGAGTTTTAATTGCAATACCACTCGTAAGGAAGCATCAGCAAAACATGGGTTTAGGTCAGAGCTAGATCTGATGAGCTAGGGAAAGGAATTTGCCTGGGCACTGCCATACTGTCCCAGGGGCAACTCTTTCTCACTTACACTGACTGATATCTACTCTGTTTAATTCATGACACATTTGTCTGTTCTTTGCCTCCTCTTCAGGCTTTGTGCGTTGTTTGGATGACAGGAGAGTGCTACGTGCTTCTTCCCTGGTTCAGGTTTAGTCCCAGCATATTTGCAGGGAAGAATGTCTAGGGAGAATATAATGTGCCTGAAGTAATATCATCAAGAGTCAGAGTTCAGCCAGCACCTAGCAAGCAAAGCAGATGACATCCAGGAATTAAAGTATGAATGGGACTCTCAGGTAGACCTTTACCCCCCTCAGCTTTTTCCCCACTTACACAGGCAGCTGCATGAAGAGGGTCTCCTCTGTGAACACCCAAGTCTTTCCAGCCAAGTCTGCTTCAGCGGCTCTGTCTTCCCTCACTGTTGCACCTCTGAAGGAAAGACCTTAGGGATGTTTTAAGTATGACTGGTAATTTGGTGTAGATAAGAGATAAAGGATTTTGTGACCACTGTTTTTTACCCATTTGCTTGAGCATGTTCACACCTCTCTAAGGAGGTAGCTCTTCTCCTGAATGGTGACCTTTCAATGGCTCTTTAATGATGTTTACACACTGAAGTGCTAACCTCCCCTAGGCAGGAAGGCTTGATAAAGATTATCTCCTACAGCTCTTGCAGGGCCAGTGCTAGCTCATTGTCCTGAACTGGTTTGGGTCTAGCCATGGAGCAGGACCTAGGAAATCACAGTAGCCGGATCAGGGAGAAGGGGCAAGTGCCAGGAGCACCTCAGCATATGACAAATGAGTAAATGTTAAGTTTTCCTTATTTATTATTTATTTAAGGCTTCAGGGGAACAAAAATGGTTCAGCATGTTCCTTTTGGGAGAAGATTGAGGTGGCTTCTTGCTTTTTTTCCTCCAAACCAGTTTGTTCTCGTGTGCCTCTCCAGGACCAAACAGTAACTTTCAGAGTAGCTTCTAATGGTCCCTCTGTGTTGTTTACGAGACAAGTGGGTCAACTTGTCCATGGCTTCTTTTAATGTGGGCATGTGTGGTACATTTACTAAGATGTCTGATTGATGTCTAGAAGATGTATAACATCTCCGTCCAAGGCAGTGACAGGGAATTAGCCACATGGGAAAAAGTGTGGGGAAACAAAATTACCTTATAGGAGATTCTGTGGGGTTCAATAGGAAGACAAAACCTATTTGTAGAGTTTTCTAATCTCTGTGGAAAGAGATAGAAAATTATACCCTGCTGTGTAATACTGTAACTTGTGTGGATAGACTATCATTCAGACTGGTTTGAACACTACTCGCTATAAATATATTTCAAGCTTACTAAATTTGATACATTTCTTTTTTCATAAAGGTCTTGACTTTCTGTGAAAAATACAATTTCAGCCTTTTTCTGGTAAAAGGGAAAAAACAAACCCCCAAAAAAAGTAAAAAAAACCACCCCACAAACACAAACAACCCCCCAACCCCCCAGAAAACCAAAACCTCTCACCCAAATAGGCTGTTTACCATGACCTCCCTGCAGTCCAAAAGAGAAATATATCTACACTTGCCATGAGCTTGACTGGAGAGAGCAGGTCTGCCCATCCACACGTGCTACCCAAGTGAGCATCCTGAGCTGAACTAGAAAGGCAGTTTGAATCTCTTCGCAAATGGACAATGGTTTGTATAACCTGGCCTTTTCTTATGTAACAGACCTGCTGCTTGTGTGTATCCAAGATCAAAGAGAGGGACCTGGAACCTACTGTATGTTTCCCAGAAAAGCCGTTGTTAATATATAACTACACCTTTTCAAGCATATGGAAGGCACAGGTGCTCTTTGAGCAAAATTTGGCCTGCAGTTCTTTTATCCTGGTGAGGAGGAATGAGTTGGAGAGAGTACAGCCAAATACTCAGAGCCCAAATCACATTTGTGGGGCCTAAAATAAAAAGGAAAGGTAAGCTCAGTATCCCTGATCTGCAGTTACTAATAAACCGAGCCCTGCTGTTCGTGTACACAGACCCTTTGTAAAGCAGAGCTGCACAACCTAAAAAGGTGAGGTTTTCCTGAAAGAGTGGAGGTAGAAGATTCCCATCTTTCCCTCCAAGCCTTTCTCTTCAGCAGGAGCTTGTTGAAATTACTGTGCTGAACACAAAGGAAGGCTTAAACACAAGTGACCATAACTGAAATAAATCTCAGATTCCACTGCAAGCAAATTCTCTCTTGTTCCTTTTCCCATGATTGCTCCTATCTGACAAGTGACACTATTTCATCAGTTTTTCTTTTATATAGATCTTAAGCTTTTCTTACAAGCCTTGTGAGTTCTCTTAAACTCCATTACCTTAGGCTGTGGGGTGGAAAAGTCAACCTGTTTCTTTCTGTGCCTCTAAAATCATCTGCTTCCAGGAAGCTGCTGACAAGTCACCCACTTGCTTTTCCCCCTTTCATGATAGGCTTGCAGCAGAGAACAGGGTTTATCCGTACCTCTTATCAAGTGGTAAGCTGCTATGAAGAAGGCAGCTCTGTCCTGGCTGTGCTCACCTCCCATCTGTAATGGTTGTGCAGATGCTGGTGCACAGCTGACCCCACAGCAAGCCAAAGCACTTTTGGCTTACCATTAAAGTGAAGAGGGAACAGCTGTGAGCAGAGGGAGAGGCAGCACTGGTCTCAGCAGCTGGCCTTTGTATCAGGTTAGGGAGACTGGGAAAGTGCACTTTGAAATGGCATCTTCATGATGAGTCTAAGCTGCTAAAAAGAGCTGTCATGCCTCCTCCCTTCTGTCACCACCAGCTGTATCCTTCTACTGCCTAAGAAGCACAGTGCTGACACTCATTTGGCTGCTCAGAAACTGGCCCCATTGAAAACTAACCCAGTCTCTTGACACGATAAGGATTTCAGTGGGATCAGCTCCTTGTATTGATTTACTCAGTAAGGCAAGCATCACTGCGGGCTGGAGAAGCGTGCAGATAGTCATGTTGAACAATATTCTTTGGTTGCAAATGCAATTTAAATTATCTTAAGCTGGTTGTAAAATATCTGTTTGAAAAGAATAAACCCAGCTAGGGTACCAGGGAGGACATATTCCCCCCTTCCTTCTCTAGTGTTTTCCTTAGAATTCCTAGTATGCTCTTACCTGATTTGGATTTTGTTGTTATTTAATGCCCTGTTATCTCCCTCACTATTCTCTCCCCTTCCACAGGCTCCTTTGAGATAAACCTTTGCAATCGGGCAGGAGGAGAGAAGTAATGTGATATATGCATAGAATTAGTAAAGGTAACGTGCACAAATATCATATGCACTCAGTGATCCATGGCAGCTAAAGATACCGATAAGCCTTCTCCTGTAATGGCAAGAGGCAGAGCCTTGTGCAGGAGTGAAGCACAGCTGTTGGACGTGAGGTTTATCCCTAACTTTAAGCTAGTTCCAGTTTAGTGTGAGATCCAGAATGGCACTTCACACCTAGGAAGAGTCTTCTGTGCATGATGTACTGTGTACAACAACTGAAAACTATTAGTTGTAGGCCCAGAGAACCGGAGAGAAGGAAACTATTCTCTTTATTTCACAAAGGTATGAGGTATGGTGGTGAGGCAAAGTAGTGTGCGACAATACAGGCTCATGGACAACTTTGTGTGCTCTGTGCAATGGTGCAATAGCAAGGAGAAGTCTAGCCAGAGAGGGAAAGACATTGAAAGGCTTGGGAAAAAGATCAAGAAAGGCTTGACATCTTACGGTTACCATGGCAGACTCCAGGCAGAATGGGCTCAGTTACAGTATGGCTACACAATCTGTAGCTCCAGGGTTGGTGTAGCTTAGAGTACTCCTTGGTCCAAGCCACACTTCTTTCTGAAAGACACAGTGGTAGGAAAGAGACTGTCCTGAATTTAAGCACCTGCTGGCTTCTTTTTCATCATGGTTGCGAAATACTTCACAATAAACTCTTCAGGGAAATCGTGTAAGAAATACACCGAATAGGAACTTAGTCATTGTCCAAATGACGATAATGTGTGATCTATGCTCACTGGCAACCCCAAATATCTAAATTTAGCTCAGTTTGCTTTAACTGCTGTATTGACAATAGCCTAGAAGGAGAAACAGACTAAAATAAATCCATCTCTAAATTTTGTAGAGAGCAGAGCAACATTGGCATAGTCTAAGCTCTTCCCTCTCATTTCTCCCAGATGGAATGTCCCATGTTCCTTGTTCAGACAGCTACAAACAATCTGGGATTTCCCTTAAAGAAACTGTTTGACGTTTTCCAAAAGGAAAATGAAAAGAAAAGAGAGAAAACCAACCAACCAAACCAACCAAACCAATCACCATTCATATACAGGGATTTTCAGCAGCTGATGCCAGTACACCTAGGAAAATATAAGGAAGTTTCATCTTTGATTCTCCTCCCTTGTAGCAATCTGACAGGGAAAGGCTTCTATGCCATGGCTCAGGGAAAGGACAAACAAACAGGAAAATGTGAGTAAAGTAGTGCCTATTAGAACTCAGTGCATGTGTAGGACAGCCTACAGTCATTAAAGCACAGTCTCAAATATGAATGCAAGCTGTAAAGTCAATGTCAGGTGCCTCTTTTATAGGCTTTTTCCAGGCTAAGTAGTAGTGAACCACCTGCACAGGAGCAGCAGAGAAGAGCAGGACATCTGTGCCAGATCAATG